TACGAATTTGGTACAAGTAGGTTACAGGTGTGGAGTATGGTGGTGATTCCTAAGAGTGGGAGGTATAAATTCAGCGTTAGGTATAGGGTTCACATAAGAAGTAAAGATAAAATAAGTAGTAGGTGAGAAGGGTACAATAATGGCGGTCTTCTTTAGAGAAGAGATAAGTAAGTGAACAATAGGTATGAGTATAAATTGAAGACATTGCGTGAAGAAGAATACTCCTTCACTCTGGGTATATATGTACATTAGATAATAGGACAGCCCTAAGCTCTGTCTCGAGCAGTATTACTACGCAATCCCTATGAAACGATCCTATATTCCTGAGCATGTCCTAATTGTTTGAGAACTTGATCTAACCCCGAGTTGTGTTTTAGAATGGAACTCCCCATGAGACACCATCCTAGTTTCTGTCACGTTTATCCATGAAATATACACACCACAGCGTCGCTCCAATTGTTCCCATACAATTTCTCAGTTCCGCAGTCCTTAGTCCATTGCTCAGGAGCGGAAGCAGTTGTATAGTTCCAATAGTGCCCTAGGTCTGCATGTACCTCTGAGCGCTATCCCGTGGTTGCCCGGCGATACTTTACCGCTCATGGCTAGTGTGTGTGATCAATAAACTCATCACAATGCTGCCCCAATCATTGCCCTGCAATGACTCAAACCAGTGCTCCCAAGTACGAGACTCAGGAGCAGCAGCAGTTGTGTCCATGGGCAACGCACGACCTACATATGCACCTGTCGGTGCAGAGTGTTATAATAACGAGGTCATAAGGGGACAGAGGAATACCTGAAATGTATGCAGATGATTATGGATGCGCGGATATAATTGATATGGCTGTAGTGAGAAGAAGTGTTGGAATGGACAGTAGTGAGATGGTTGATTTACAATCTATCTGCGGAAGTATTGCTTCCTTATATATACATTCAGTACCCCAGTCCTGATCACGCACTCGCCACAGGTGCTTCCTACTTCTGTCACAGTAACCACTTCCATAGCCCCTGCCAATATCTCCTGTCATAACATACTATTGACACTGGTTGCTAGTGTGGAACTCCCGGGATTGCAGAGCTATACACCATTGTCACATTATATGCTGTTGCCCCTCGGTAGCCATCAGAGTGATGTGCGCCTTAGTCTAAACGCATTGGTCCACCAGGCAACGCTCGGATGTAGGGATGTTGCCAGAGTGATTAGGTACTCAGCTGTGCTATCAGTGCCTTAATCTCATCTAGCTTACTGCGGCCGAGTGTCCAAGTGCCGTGATGGTGGGAGCCCAATGAGGCTCGATCAGAGCTGACCCGAGGTATTCACAACACAGAGCCGGTCATTGACAAGCAATATCACAACAGACTGCCCCCCAAGCTCCGACCAATTGTTGAAGCTGAACAACGACACGCCGCCGAAATAGAGGCAAATCTGGCCCTCTGCTCCGCCGCTATCTCTGGCGTCAAAGCCACCCTCTTCCCTTTAACCAACGGGTCAAATAGACAATTCTTAAACTGGATGAGAGTCTACCTACACGTCACCATTGCGCAATACATGGCCTCGAGCTCGGCCTCCACGCCACCTTTCCTCCCTCGTCGCCCAGCGAACCCTCCTCGCCCAACAAACCCTCTCCCAAGGGCTCCCGACGCCAGGAGACAAACAATACCCACCGTCCCAGCTCTGCCTGTCATAATCACCTGGGCCAGGGTGGCCAGACACGGACTGCAACAAAAAGCAGTCCCAACTATGAAGGCTATGCCGCGACCTGCGGCCAAAGCCCAACAAAAAGAAAACCCCAAGGCGAAAGTCGATAAGCGACTGTTCCTTCGCCTTGAAAAGGACCACCCGTGGCAAAAACTGTCCACAAATAGAGTGAGATGTAATTTGGAGTCTACATCCCACTACTTTCAGGTTGAAATAACCTCACTACATCGAATGAGGACCGGCTTTGCTATGCTAGCAAAGAACGAAACCATACGACAAGAGATACTAGATCGCTCTTCGAAGCTGCCAAGTGAAAACATCAAACTCGAGGCATCTTCAAATCTTGTCGCCTTACAGATACCGAACGTACCTGTAAGTATAGTTACAGTGCGCGGCCCAAGAGCGGTCAATGCTGAGTGGGTCTCCGGCAAGATTGTTGATACGACCAGCGTGTTTCCAATCCAGGTCCGACCTCACGGGACGTGTCAGCCTGGAGCACGCTATCGAAACTGGCATGCCCATTTCGACCGGGATGATGCCCCTCATAGGGGCTTCCGCCTCTTCGACGAGTCTGGTAGGGCTAGCATTCACAAGCCTCGTCGACCAATCGAACATTGCATACACTGTTTGGGCTTCTACGCCACCCGTGGTTGCTCCCGCGCTCCAGCCTGCTGGAACTGCGGATCTAACATGTACTCGGAAGCCGAGTGCTAGGCCCTCACCAAGTCTCGTAACTGTGGGGGACGTCATCGATCGCATTCTCGGGCCTGCCAATCCGGAGCAGTGATAAAAGAGCAGTTCCGTGGATCCGCCACATTGAGCAATATTTTATTTTACGCGACAGTGGAGTTAAGAGTATACTACATACCAGCCATATATTCAGCTGCGTGTGGATACTTGCTCTCGAAATCAGATTCCTTTAAAATACACACATATGATTTATTGTGTATATATAAGTACAACTATTTGATTTTGATTTTGATTTCATTTAACCCGATTTGGCGACTTATGGGCCCATGTAGGCGGCTATGAACCTATCTATTTATTTACATGAGGAGGAAACCTTCCGGTAAAAACCCCCTCCCCCTATTAACTTTATATTCATCTATAGTCCTTCGTTATCTATAGGAAGTGCAATTGGCCATCAGTCCGAGACAGGATTAGCTAAAATTATACTCGACCTCGCCATCCTTTCCCTGCCCTCGCGTGCTAAAAAGAGACGACTTTGGTCTTAAGTTTGACCCCGATGGTCCAAATAATTGTGGTGGTGGGTTGACCGGGAGCTGTTTGCGCGGGCGTCCTGGCCCTCTCTTTAATACCTCCTAACTACAACTATTGGTGCTAATTTTCTTGTTCTTACAATTTTCTACACACTTCAGAATTACGGAAAGTGTGGAATACTAAGCGAGACATGTGATACAATTACAGATTTATCACATGATTTCAACAAACAAGGGGGTTTCTCAAAGGTGGCACGAGCTCGAGCTGCAGCCAAAAATGTCTCGATGGCTGAGGCAACAGGTCTCAGAGTGCTGGAATCTGAAGAAGTGTGAGGGAACAGCAACGTTGACAATGTCCCTTTTGAGGCATCTACTAACTAATAGTAGGATACCGGCTGGATCAAAGGTGCCTGCTAACTCATCTCTTGCTCTCAGCGGAGATTAAGTAAATTTTTCATTTGGAAGGTGTGACGGACGAGGGACTGTGTGAGGAGCGCATTGGCTGGGTCCAACATGGAGGAATCTTCTAGTTTTCGGAGGTGTTTTGATTTTCGTGATTTTTCGTTTCAGTTTAATCAGCTGCAATTTTGGTAGCAATTCACGAGGTTGGAACTAGTTTAGGCTGTGGAGGGCAAGACTGAACACCTGTACGCGGTGTCCTCTACGAACCTGGGAGTGAAATGTTCTCCCAGAGCCAAGTTCAGTCAAATTTCGCAATGTCAAAAAAGTTGGCCCACGAGGCAAAAATTCAAACTACTCCACCATGTCAATCTTTCACTCCCAAAGAGTCCGATTTTCAAGTAAGCTTCATCAAGTCTACAAGTATGACCTAGTACATCCTCATTCCAATGATCACACCCTCTATCGACTTTCTCTGGCATCAGCTGGTCGCCAGACACACGCACACGCCGATATTTACACCCGACGGAGGAAACAAAGCATGGTGTACAAATCTAGGAGACAGTTCTTTGGGATGGACGTGAGAGGATTCAGGACAAGTTGATAAGATGACGCGAAGGATGGATACAGTCTCGACGGGCGTGAAATTTTGAATTTTGGAAAGGAGTTTTCACAAATTGAGCTTTGTGCATGCCAAGTCTTCGGCAGCGAGAGTGCAGGCAACACTATAAAAACTGCCATGGTTGGATGGTGCGGTGGTACATCGTCTTGGCCGGTCTGCCAAGTAGAGTCTGGATAGCTTGGACACATATCCCACTCGAGACAGTAGATTGCTGGTTCAAATCCAGCAAAACACAACCACATTTCTCGCGGCGCTGGTATGCATGGATGACGAAGGCATGCTTGGATAACCAAAGGTTGTGAATTTCCCTTTGGTGGGTACTAATGGAGGAGGGTCGACTGTTTGTGTAAGCGAACATACCTCATAGTGGTATTTGCAAATGAAATCCAAAGTATGAGTGTATTTAACGTCAAAAGAGTCATCCCACATGTATATATAGCACCAGTCATGTGTTATAGCTAGATAGCTGAATACACATTAAATGATTTAAAAAAAAGTTTAGGCTGTAGGAAAAGTTACAGGGAACCCTGCCTGCTCAACCGGTCCTTGACCCATTGTGGATAAAATAAATTTAGCTTAGGGCCGATGTTAAATAAAACCATCGCGCGCGCTCAGAACCCTCACTGGTGCTTTGACACTATCATTCACGTAGCATCGGTTGCGATTTCAGTCTACTGATAATTCTTGGATTAATGGGATATCCACGTGATGCCTTCAATGGCCATTGTCGGCTACAGGACTTATTAGCCCATCAGCCGTCACAGAATCAGAGCCATTTTTATATTTTATCTTATTCTATTTCGCTCAAGTTTACCACATTTGGATCAACTAATTCTGCAACTTTAGAAACCAAACTAGCCAGATCCTGAAACTTCTGTGTACTCAGTAGCCGGCTGATCTGTTGGATGACAAACAACCTGCTGGCCACGACCTTTAGCTATTACAGAGATAACCTCCTCATTAATTGTATATTCTATTATGATATGGACATCAAAAATTTCTGGACATGGGTATCAGTAGGAAATAATAATGCTTTAAATTGAGATTGCAAACCTTTTTCAGTCTAATACTTAGTTATGTAACCTGCTGTGCCAAATTTCTCATCAGGTTTGAATTTTCCTAGATTTGCTTGCATTCTCTTTTTGAATGCATGATCAACACTATATTCTATATCCTTCTTATTAATAACAATATGGTCACACAGATAATTTGAAAATTCGGCTGCGATTCCAGGTGTCAGATGACTTGAAATAGCCATGAATGAAATGAGACTGAAGACTTTCATGTTGCAATTGTTGTGTATAGTAAATATTGCTTATATTTTAAGAGAGTGCCTAGATTTGTCGATTTTTTTGACCCCGTAGGTTGATCGGTTTTGAAAAAGAGAGGAATAGTAGGAGCCATGTAGGAGTCTGAAGCACTTTTTTTCGAAATATATTGGAAGCAATGGCGAGGTTTGTGGTCTGAAGATGGAATGATGTGGGAATAGCCTTCCTTATATACATGGCATGATGGTTAATTCCTGTTGAAAAAGAGCCCACCACACTTCACCCAATCAGTTCTTGATTATGCATCCCTACTCGAGTGTCAAGTTATTTGGGGCGTAGGTTGTGATGTTAAAGCTCCGGTTCGAAGTGAAATGTAAGAAAGTAGACTAGGACATATCATGAGAGATGGTATGAATGCTAGACCTTGCTATTATCATAGGCAGGATCATAGCCGAATTCGAGCATAAGCCAAAGCCATCTGGATGTTGAAGGAGTCTTTTAATTTCGAGCAGAGAATTTTGGTGCCATCCTAGCGGCCTACGCCCTGAAGGATGGAGCCCACCCGTGTTACGGGATCCATCCTTTGGGTTTATACGTTCTGCGCCCGTACAGCAGGAATGGAATGTAGGGCTGAGCTAGCTACGGGGGCTACCAATGTTGCGGTCGGATGTGGTTGCTTGGCAACATAAGTTGATATATTCTGCGCTGATAATTACAGTTCCCTGTAGATACAGCGAAAAGTGGGGAATCTTCTTTCCCTACATTTCATTAATCAACTGATTTATTCTGGACTTGCTCTGCTGTATACCAACACCAATTGATTCGGCGACGACTCGTCCCGCTCCAGACTTGAAGAGGCAGAGGAACTAGAGGGATTGACAGCAGTAGAATCTTAACAGCTGGGCAAGAAGCATCCCCCACATCTGGTCTCGTCAACTCATTTCGCAAACTTCCATAATTTAAAACCGTGGCATGAACCTATGTCAATGATTTCCCAAGTCTTCCGGGATTCTTTTCCTTTCCAGTCAGGATTCTCTTTTATTTCTACATCTAGATAGGTTATTCCTAGACTGTCTGGATGAATCAAATCTTAAGTGAACAAAATTAAATCCGACTAGTGTGATTCCAAGTATGGTACAAGACTCAATCTCAGCGCTTGTCACACTCGAAGCTGCTAAAGTCAGCGTATGGGGGGATTATTGAGAAATGCGAGTTATATCTGACACGATGGTTGAGAGGCAAGGTATGTGTCAATGGCTAGAGAGTAGTGCAACTCATGCACGGGCCTATGGCATCTGCAGTTTGAAGGATCAACATGAGATATAGCTGAAGGATGAGGTTAAGGTCGATCGTCCTTCGTTGTCTTGGTTGAATGGTCGAGTGGTGATAGATATTGATCCGGGCAGAGAGCCGAGAAGTTGAGCAGCTTTTTGTCAAGGCATCCGGGTAATGGGCATGCCCCGCATGTTGTTCCTCATATCATTCAATTCATGCCATCAGAGACAAATTCTTCACCTTTCAGTGGTGCCGGTCTATTCGCTCATGACGCACTGCATATCTGAAATAGCCAAGACAAATTGCATCCAGACACAAGTCGAAAGCAACCTTAAGTACATCTAAAATCGACGACTTTTCGTCAATGTTGGAACTATCATTCTCGCACAAGTTTACGTCAATCTTAATACATAACTCCGCCTTAAATACTGATTAAAGCGTTACTCCAATTGCAATTGGGAAGATGCCTCCACAAAAACCGGCCGTGTCACACTACTAAGTTGCGCTGTTGTGTATACCCGCATGGATAAAATTAAGCCACAATATACGAAGCTTGGATCTCTGTCTATTGGGCACCGTTGCTATTATGGGGCTTCGTATCTTGAGGGAGGAGAGGCAGTTGGGACGTGGAAGAAACGTTTCAAGAGGTCGCAAACTGGCAGACTGTGGGACTCACATTTTTCGGGCTTTTGTGACTTTGGGTAACTCGTGAGCGCTAAGACTTCGATTCAGATCGTGCTAGAGACAATATAAAAACAGGCAACAATAGAAGGTGTTGTAGTTCGCTTTCTGTTCATCATCTCCCCGGACCAAAGTCTGGATAGCCTTGACATCTGCGTCACTCGAGAAATTTGGTCCTATAAGGCCATATCTAGCGCGGTGGCTATATACAAGATGACAAAGGCATAGTAAGTTAGCCAAAGGGTTTTTCTGGTTTCCCTCTGGCGTATGTGAAAGGTTGAGGGAAGGGTGATAGTCCTTAGCACAAAGGTCACGAGTGGTATCAGCGAATGCAGCTACTAATTGAGTGATGCAAATTTCAAACTGATTTATCTTCGTATAAACTCTTCGGGGAAGGACTAGCCTTCTCCATGTCATGCTCGGTGAGGGTTCGGCTTACGCCTATTGTTACAGGCTGTAGCCTTGTATGTGTGAGGTTATTGTGTTTTTGTGTGTGTTTTTTATTGTGCTACTTGAGTCTATGACTATCTAGCACATTGGGCTCCTCTCTGACCCAGGCCACACCTTGTACAGTGCTCCTATCCTCTTTTGTTACTTGAAAGATCATTGATATATTCCCCTTGATGAATAGCCATTCAGCTCAGTATTTACCCGTGGAATTCAGCCACTTTTTCCACGGAACCTTCTACCCAAAAAAAATAAAAATGGTAGCAATGGAAACTGCGTGCGCGGGAAAAAGTCTCAAAAAACCTGCAGGCCCAGCCAGGCGAGGCCTAGACACCGGGACCACATGAGGTGCGCATATTCATCTACATCTCCCTTCTTTGTAACAGTCAAGGCCGACTTGTTCCAATCCGCCATCTCCGTATCGGGTGCTGGGTACGCTCTGGAAACTCATCGGATGGCTTTTCCTCCGTGATCAAGGTTTGGTGATGAGTAGGGCTCCGACCCTGCCATCTAATCTGATCGTGGTTAGCTTCATGATAATGGTGATAGGGGAACGTATCGAGAGATGAAGACGATACAGACCGCGAAAGCGATTGGGAATCCTCGTCGAAGTGAGGACTTTGTTACTCAATCTTGGCTCTGCAAACTCTACAATAAGAGCTGGAGGTTCGTAGGGGACACCACTTACAGGTGTTGAGAATAATCCCCCTATGTGTGAGGTTTCTTGCGTGCACTAGATGTTTATCGGAAACAGGGTGTGTGATTATCACCTAGGTCTGGTGGTGCAATGGTTACGCGGTGTCTCGTGGCTCCTGACTACAACATAAGGTGGTAGAGCTTGAGACTTGATTGCGTATCCCTCCACCGAGATCTATGCTATGATTTAAGTACACTCCTAAACTCCTCGCCACCTTTTACATCCCGGGCGCCATCCCTGAATACTATTTGCCTCTTTACTACGCACTGATAGTTGCTCTCGTTCCCTGGTATTTGACTCCGTCTTACTTCTCTTAGCGTAGGCCTGATATTGCCTCTGGCTTACTTAGACGACCGGGATTCTTGGGATCCACCTGTGGATCCGGAACTATCCGGCTCCGTCTGTGAACAAAAGCGCGCTAGTGTCACGGGAAAACGCGTAAGGTTTCCGAGCGCGCGCTGTATACTTAGTTTGTTTGTTTGTTTATTATTTAACGTCTAACTAATGATTATAATACACTAGTCCCGGACTGGAAAAGGACGCCAGAGCTTACTGCTCTAGAACCGGGGGCACCCAGCTTCTCCAAACAAAAAAGAAGGGACCCGAGATGAAATACGGTGTCAGATGACTTATTACGTCACGCTGTCTACAGAAGTTTATGCCTCCTAGAGGGAATGAGAGCCAGTCATAGTGGGAAGAATATCCTCCCAATATGCTTAGTTAAATTAGAGGAAAAGAAAGGGAAGAAAGGAAAATTTAGCACATGGGCATTCTTTTATTTTAATTTTCTTTGAACTGCTGTTAAGCAACATTTATCGATGTCACGGGAGGAATCCGGGGACAAATTTTAGTGAAGAACTGTGATTTTTCAAGCCATTGTGCAAGTTTTGAAGCTCCTGTGGGGGTCCCAAGAAAGAACTTCCATTTGTCTGAACAGCCCCTCGGTGGTTTGAGGGGGCTTGATGTGATTAGTCTACAGTTTAGGAAATGTGCAGGGGACTTGAGTTTGTTGCAGCTGCAGGTATTGTGGGCGGGGTTGTGGTTGAAGCGATTATGATAGGCTGCAAAATCTCCATGTCCGGAGCGAGCAGCGTATATATGGGCAGTATGATGTCGAGGTAGTGATAGCTCTGCGGGGCAGCCCACAGGATACTCGATTTCCAAGTCTTGATATGACTGAGGGGCATGCTTTGCCCAATACTCTTTGTGAGCTTTTATAGATATGGCCTTGACCCAAACTTTTGCCGAGGCAATTGTGAGTGGAGATGGGGACGGATACGGCATGGACAAAGCATCTTTCGCTGCTTTGTCTGCTAGAACGTTGCCTAAGTGTCCTGAGTGGCTTGGGATCCAATGAACCCGGACTTCGCCTGGGATAGTATGGGGGAGACGCGTGCGGCCTGGCCATTCTTGTGCTTTGAACGCGAATTTTTTGAATACGTCTTGGGAAGAGCAGATCGGAGTAGATAGAAGATGTCGGGCTACATCTAGGTTATCGAGTAGGACCCATAAGTTGTTTGCAAAGCGTGTAGAGGTAAGATCTATTGCTGTCTCTACAGCACTTAAAGCTGCTGCAGCTTCTGCATCAAATATCTCTAGTGATGGGCTTAGAGGTATTCTTTTCTGGCAGATCATGTGGCCTGCTTGGAAGATTACAAAACCACCTCCGACGCAAGGTCCCGAAGCTGATTCTAGGCGGCTGCCATCGGAATATATAACTAAGTCATGTGAGGGGATCCCCTCAGGAAGTTGATGTGAGGCAGCAGTGACCCGTCTAGTCCTTGAGAACCAACTCTCCTTTGCTAACCAAGGGGGGTTGACCAGAGGGTCCAGATACTCTGTAGGCGGGAAGCTTAGGGCCCACCTGGAAAGGCGTGAGACACGTCTCTGTTGGCTAAGGATCCAAATGTTCCGGCG